TCATGGAGACTGAGATTCAGTTCGCCGAGTTAGTTCTGCCATCAGGATCACCTCAGAATGCTCCCAGGGAGATGGGACAAGTCCAGGCCCTCATTCCTTCCCAAGACCAACTAGGGCTTACAGGCCCTCCTTGGCTGTTCCTGGCTCGTCACTAGTGAGCTGATGCTTAATTTTCTTTCTTTTTAATTGAGTAGATAAAAATATTTATAAAAAACATGAAAGTATAAAGAATAATAACGTAATGTACAGTTTTGTACCCTCATATGGTTGAAGAGACAGAATAGTACCCTCATCCTTGAAGTACTGCGTGGGTCCCTGTCTGATTGCATTGTCTTCCCTCTCCATCATCAACAACTGCAATCCTGGTCTTGTTTTAATCACTCCCTTTGTTTCATAGTTATAATAATTTTGTACTTTTGAACTTTTAGTAAGTGGAATCATACTGTATTTATTGTTCTGAGACTTGCTTTCTTTTGACTCAACAGTATGTTCCTGAGATTCAACCTGATGTTCTGTGTAGCTACAGTTAACTAATTTTCATTGCTGTGAAGTATCCCATCATGTGATTATGCCACAAATTATTCTACCAACAATGGAATGTGAGTTGTTTTCAAGTTTTTCTTATTAAAAACTGTGCATTGTCCAGGTGTGGTGGCTCACACTTGTAATCCTAGCACTCTCGGAGGCCCAGGTGGGAGGATCGCTTGAGGTCAGGAGTTCGAGAGCAGCCTGAGCAAGAGCAAGATCCTGTCTCTAAACAAAAAATAGAAAAATTGGCCAGGCATGGTAGTGTGCACCTGTAGTCCCAGCTTCTCGGGAGGCTGAGGCAGGAGGATTGCTTGAGCCCAGGAATCTGAGGTTGCAATAAGCTATGATGATGCCAGTGCACTCTACCCAGGGCAACAGAGCAAGACTCTGCCTCAAAACAAACAAACAAAAAAATACACAAAAAACCGTGCATCTATATGTGTACATAACTTGTAGGTATAAGAGTCGCTCTAAGATACATGTGTGAGTGGAGTTTTCTTATTGACTTATGGGAGTTTTTATATGTTCTAAACATAAATGTCAATTATATTTGGTACAAATATTTTTCAATTTGCAGCTTGTCTTTTCACTTTATGTGTTTGTAAGATCACTTTACTGAGAAATGATGACATACGTTAAATGCATATATTTAAATTGTACAATTTGATGAATTTTGACAAAAGGATGCACCTGTGAAACCATAACCACAATCAAGGTAATAAACAGATGAATCATTCCTGAAAATATATTTGTGCATTTTTGTAATCCCTTCCTCCATACCCACCTTCTCTAGGCAATCCCACTAATCTGTTTTATGTCACTATAGTTTAGATCACATTTTGTGAAGTTTTGTGTGAATAGAATTATATAGCATGCACTCTTTTTGTCTGGCTTCTTTCGTTCAGTATAATTACTTTCAGATTCATCAGTGCTGTGTTTTTCAATAGTTCTTCCCATTTTATTGCAGAAGACTATTTCATTGTATGGCTGTATCACACTTTGTTTACCCATTCAGCTATTGATTAATATTTGGGTTGCTTCCAGTTATAGCTACTACAAATAAAGCTGCCACAAACTTTCATGTACAAGCTGTAAAGACACAGACTTCCATTTATCTTGGGTACCTAGGAGTGGCTTGGCTGGATCATAGAAGTGTAGGTGTATTTTTAGGTAGGCATATGTTTAACTTTATAAGAAAATGCCAAACTGTTTTCCCGTTTGGTTGTATTAAGTCAGGGTTCTTCAGAGAAACAGAACTAATATACATATATGAGGAAACTTATAGGAATTGGCTCACATGATTATGGACACAGACAAATCCCACTATCTGCCATCTGCAAGCTGGACAACCAGGAAACCTAGTGGTTAATTTAGTCCAAGTCTGAAGGTCCTGAGAATCAGCAGAGCTGATGGTGTAGGTGTGAGTCAGAGTCTGAAGACCCAGAGGTCTGAGGGCAGGGGAAGATGAATGTCTCAGCTCAATCAGAGAAATCAAATTTGCCCTATTCCCACTTTTTTATTCTATTCAGACCCTTAATGGATTGGATGATGGCCACCCTACATTGGTGAGGGCAGATCTTTACTCAGTTCACCAATTCAAATGCTAATTTCTTCCATAAACATTCTCACAGTCACAGCCAGAGGTTATGTTTTACCAGCTATCTGGGCATCTCTTAGCTCAGTCATGTTAACACATAAAGTTAACTATTACAATGGTTGAACCATTTTACAATCCCACCAGTATCGTATGAGAGCTCCAGTTGCTAGACGGCCTCAACATGCTTGGTATGGTCAGTCTTTATACTTTCTACTTTTAGCTATTCTAATGTGTGTGTCATAGTAGCTCAATGTGATTTTAATTTGCATTTCTCTAATGACTAATGATGTTCATCTTTTAATGTATTTATTTACTGTGTATATATTTTGGTGGAGTATTAATTTAAATCCTTTGTCTATGTTTAAAAAT